CCGCCCCCCGGCCTCAGGTGGCCCCGGGCCCCGCCCCCGGCTCCCTTTGGCGCGCTGGTTTTTGACCTCCGACGTCCGCTGCTACCCCCGTTGGGTTCATTATTAGTCAGTAACACGTCATCGCCGGCCCTTGTTACTAAAGGGGCTTGTAGTGTGTGTGGTGGGCCTGGGCCCGTGTCTCCCATCCACGTGTTAAAAGTCCCGCGTGGCCCCGGCGTGATCCTGTCCGCAGGCAGAGTTTCCCTGGGCAGTGCCCCGGGGGAAGGGAGAGGGAGCAGGGTTTTCCCCTCTGCTTCTCTGTCACTTGCAGCCTCCAGCATTGCAGGTCCGGGGAGGTCTCATGCGGAGGCTGTGCCCATTAACGCCTGTGCTCGCGTGGCAGGTTTCCACCTCTCCCTGCACCCAGACCTTGTGGCGGGGCAGAGGCTTGTGTGTCCCAAAGACCCTCAGATGTGTAGCCTGTGCTCCCGGCACCCTGGCGAACAGGCCCGGACGGGATTTTCCAGACAAACTGAGGTCCAACCCCAATTAAACCCCAAACCAGGCTCTAACCCCGAGTCCTCGACGGCGGATCAGGCAGAAGACGATGCCAGGATCTCAATGGCTGTAAAGGCGGAAGGAAGCTGCAGCCAGATGGAGGCGTCCTGTTGTCTAGGGTTGTCCCTTGCCGCTGGGCTCAGATCTCCACCTGGCCAAGACTGTGCGGTTTCTGTATCTGCGGAAGGGCCTGCGACATCTGTGGATGGGTCTGTGGCTCAGAGAATTGGACTCTGAGGTCATCTCAAAACCCACCAACAAACCATCTTTGAATTGAAGGATTATTGACAATGACAAGAGTCCTCAACCTTCCTAGACTGGAGGGTCCCCTTGAAACGTGCCAGCTTGTAGCTTTCACTCTTCTTTTTGACGATAGAAAAACAACACAGCAGTTTTTCTGTTGCAAAAGCCTGAGGATCACAGCTGAGGATTCCTGCTTGAAACCTCTGGGTTTATCTTGTGAATTGTCTTTGTACATCGAACATTTTGTGGCACCCCTGAAAGGGCCTCAAGGCACCCCAGGGTGCTGTGGGGTGAGAATCGCTTCTCTAACATTTTTTCCCCCAGTATAGGCAGTGCTATTTGCTCTGTCCAGTGGTCTTGGTTAATCCACCCCAAAAGTCAAATTATTTGACAGGGAGGAAAAATGCAGCCGGTTATTAAATTTGCTGTGGCTATTGATTGAACACAATGCAGTTACTGACCAGGGAATCAGGAAGCTGGGGTGTGAACAGTCCAGATTGACTCACTGGTTTGATACAGTCCTAAAAGGTTTATCTGAATCTCTCACACTTGTGCCAAGGGTTCAGGTAGTTTCCTTAAGAGATGAGCCATGTATTCTGTTTAAGTGTATAGCTCTGGGCCTGAAGTAAGCTATGCCTTATCCAGAATATGCACTTACCTGAGTTTAAGGAGACAATGCTCATTAAGTACAACAGGCTCTCAGTGTTGTAGTATTAGCAGCCCTGAGTCTGGTTAGCTCCCATCATTTTCAAGGCCTCTAAAAAGCACCAAACACAGGGACTCAGTCTGGCTTTTGGATTCTGTCTCAATGTCTAAGTGGGGGATGGAAGATCTGGGCAGCCTCCACTTATCCATACTGCTGCCTAGGCGTGTGCATCAAAGGTCTGGGTGACCTCTTACACATACACCATAATCCAGAAGGATCAACGGTTGCCTCGTAGTAGAAGACTTGAAGGAAAAGGGTCTAGCTATTTTCAAGGCATCTAACAGGAGCCCTTTGACAGCTCCTTGCCCTTCACAGTTTCTGTACAGTTAACTGAAGTACAGTTACGTCACAATGTAGTCAGCAGAGCTGAAAGATGCTATACACTTGAGTGGCTTGTGCACTTAAATGACAGACAGATAACCCATGTTTGTGTAAGCTATAGACATTATATTATGGGATAGGCATATTATGAATTATGCACTCATTTGGTATGCAGATAAATGGAGTATTTATTTATTAATTAGATTTATAAGCTGCCTTTCCCAAGGAAGACTTGGAGCTGCCTACAGTAAAAGAGAAAATAACTTATGAAAACAGAATGAAATATTAAAATAACATAATGAGGCACATTCAAAAACAATCCACCTCATCCCACCTGCTCCTGCTCCCCTGCCTCTGACCTAGGAGGCTGCCTCCCTTCCCAGTCCACTCTTATTTCTCAACCCCTACTCACTGCCTCCATAAAAGAAAAAAAAATCTTCTTATATTCCCTCCCATACCTACCCACTTCCACTCCCCTGCCTCATACCCAGGGGAATACCCCCCACTCCCTTGTCACTCTCAAGGCTGTTTGTTCTTCCTTCTCAGAGGAGCTATGGCTGTCCTCCGAACACACTCATCCTCCCCCCCCCCCAAATAAATTTATTATTCAGTTGAAACAATGATAACAAGACGTACAGAATACAAAAGTATAAGAGTACAGTGTAACACAGGCCTGGGTTGGGGAACCTAGCACAATCTGCATGGTACATTGAGAGAGAGCAGTGCAGGACGAGTCTAAACCTTCTTGATTACTTCAAATGTAAATGCCTTTAATTTCATTAGTTGCCTGATTTTAGTCATGGTAAAATCAAATACTAAGAGTCTTCCCTTTCAGGAGAAATGCTTGCTGAATCAAGTGGCAGATTTTAGGCTAAGAGCCTACATCCTCCTTTGGGAACTGGTTACACCTATCATATCTGGATTTCAGTTTATTAATCAGAACATTTTGCAGACTGACTAAGAATAGATAGTATGGCACAGGGTATAAAACAGACATACAGTTTTGCACAGCATTACCAAGGCATTTTTATTTTTGGATAGCACTTCTGGAAAACTGGCCTCCTGTTCTGCAAGCTATTCAGCAGGGGGTGGATTTCTGTACCTGGTGTCAAATCCCGTGGACTTCGATTATATTCCTACAAAACTCAGTTTAGGAGCCGGTGCATGATCTCCTTACTGTTTACCATTGGAAAGATTTACCCTTTGACTTCTAACCTCTTGAGTTGAAGTGATGGGGATTTCACTCTTGGATCAACTATTAATCCAATATAGATTAGATCTATACCGGTGAGAATCCCAGACAAGAACAGAAATCTGAGCTTGCATTCATCATGGCCCCAGTAAAGCTCTGTGGTTGACCAAATGTCTCAGGACACATACTGGAAAAGTATGCAAATAGATGTGCCTGTATATTTTTCAAGCCTCTGGATGGGAACATTTTGTGTGTCCCTATTAGTTTTATATAATGCGCATGGGAGGCAATGAAGGAACATCAGACAGAATCTGACCTGTAATCAGGAAATGTGCATTTTTAGGTTTTTAATTGTATGACATAAATTGATTTCAATTCAGTTATTACTATTTTTTATTATTTTTTCTATTCTTGTGTTGTGTGTGAGCTCTTGTCATGGTGGGGACTTGACAGGACACAGAACACCGTGTCCCAAAGAGCTTACAACCTAAGGCATCACAGCAAAGGAGAACTTCAAGGAGGGATTTGCAAGAGAACATCAAAAGGGCTTTGTGGATGTTTGCCGGGAGTTCCTTCAAAATATGAAGAACGTGGGAGAAAGTGCAAAGGAGCTTGTTTGAAAATTTAACAAGTGGGAGATGGAAGCTGGTATCATGGGCCAGCTTGATACAAGAATCAACATCTTGATGCTGAGAGAGGAGAGTGGTGGTGTTGGAGAAGGAAGTTGTCTTCCAGTGTTTGTGTGGTTAATTTATGTTGTAATGTTAACTGCAGATGTGGGCAATTATTGTACCTCCTAGAAGACTGCAGAAGGAATGAGCTCCTGGCCTGCTGGCCCATTCCCAGCTTGGGCATGTGCAGCTGAGACAGCCTCTGTGGTGGGAAAGTTGTGGGTCTGTTCTAAAGTAAGGGTGAGCAACAGGGTGTGATTGACAGAGAAATATATCTTGTGAGAGAGGGGTCCGAGTGATACGATTGGTTTTGACATAATTGACAGTGAGTGACAGGACCTTTGCCTCAGAGGACTGGCTGTTGAAAGTGGGGTGAATGTGGAATATAAGGGTGCCCATATATGTACATTGAGGCTGTTCTGATGAGCTGTAATCGCAATGCATCAAAGCAGACTTGATTAATCAAATCTGCTGGAGTGTGATAATTACTGCACTCCAGTGTCACGTGTGTCAGTGTCCCCACATTGAAAAATGGCAGTGGAGGTATCTTAATTAAAGCTTGTTCAAGCTCCCCTGCCACCATTTTTCAGTGTGGGGATGCTGATACACATGACGCTTTGGGCACTTTAATTAGAGCGGCTCTTGGAGCATGTGTATAAAAGCCCCCAAAACCTAGAACTCTGGCGCTGGTGTGTGTGTGTGTGTGTGTGTGGGGGGGGGGGGGATTGGTGTTTTGGTGTGTCTTAGTGGGTGAGAGGATTTGTCTGTGAGTGTGAAGATCTGTGTGTGAGGGTGTGGATAAGTGTGAGGACTTTGTGAGGGTTTGTCTGTGAACGGTGTGGATCTTGAGGGTGTGCTGTGTTATTGAGGTAGTTGACTCAGCTTGTGAATGGAGGTAGATCACGAGCATTAGTGAGGCTGGTAGCTCATCCTGTGCAGGAGCGAGACACTGTCTGCTACAGCCTGATCTCCCATATTGGTTTCCCTGAATTGCTTCTTGATTACACCTGACTTGGACTGGCTTCTTTGACTTCGATTTCACTTACTGGGAGCATCTAAATGAAATGCTGACTGCGCAGTAGCCGAAAAACACAGCATAGTAGCACACCACAGCACGGACAGTGTTAATATGCTACTGTGCAGTATTACTAGGCTACTGAGCAGTAACGTCATCTAAAAGATGTTCTCTGGCGCTACTGCGCAGTAACTTCAGTTACTCTGCATTTATTTAGTACTTGCTAATACAAGTGCTAAATACATGCACAGTAATGACTATGCAGTAGCGTCTCATGTAGACGTGTCCACTGTTCATCATTTTGATATTGGTAAAGTATAAACTGTATTTGTATGTTTCCTCTGTGTTTGTTAAATCATTATTATTGTGGTGGTGGTGTTATTGTTATTGTCCTTTATCCCTGTAAATTTCCCCATTGTCTGTTCAATAAATCTGTTTCAATTTTTAACTTTTAAACATGACTCCCTGTGTGTGAATCACTAACAACTACCTCTGTAAAATTCAGGGCTGGCACATCCACCTCTTGGTGTACAGTAAACCTGTGCTGAGTGTAAGCCCGTCCCTAACTTGATCCTTATTCCTTACCACCCCACTAAGTTGTTTTCCAAATTTATTTGTTCCTGCTACAATGGGGATAGGCCATTGGAGGCTTTGAAAGTAAAGATAAGTAGCTTATGTTTGGTGTGAAGGAGAAGGGGAAGTCAGTGGTATGGTGCAGAGGAAGAGGTGACATGGTTAACTCAACGAGCAAGGAAGATGATCTTTTTGGCAGTGTTCTGGTTGGATGTGAATTGAACAAGACTGTCTGTCAAAGTCAGAGAAAATGATGTTGCAATAAGTGAGAGATTGAGTGACATTAGTCTTGACAAGAGTTTTGGCTGTTAAAAAAGACCATCTTAAAGGTGTCATGCAGGAAAAGATCAGTAAGACTTTATAGATTCATAGATGTTAGGGTCGGAAGGGACCTCAATAGATCATCGAGTCCGACCCCCTGCATAGGCAGGAAAGAGTGCTGTGGCCACTCTAACCGTGAAGAAGTTCTTCCTAATGTCTAGTCTAAATCTGCTCTCTGCTAGCTTGTGGCCATTATTTCTTGTAACCCCTGGGGGCGCCTTGGTGAATAAAACCTCAGCAATTCCCTTCTGTGCCCCCATGATGAACTTATAGGCAGCCACAAGGTCGCCTCTCAATCTTCTCTTGCGGAGGCTGAAGAGGTCCAGGTGCCCTAGTCTCTCCTCATAGGGCTTGGCCTGCAAGCCCTTAACCATACGAGTGGCCCTTCTCTGGACCCTCCCCAGGTTATCCACATCCCTCTTGAAGTGTGGCACCCAAAATTGCACGCAGTACTCCAACTGCGGTCTGACCAGTGCCCGAAAGAGGGGAAGTATCACCTCCTTGGTTGTGTTCGTCATGCATCTGCTGATGCACGATAAAGTGCCATCAGCTTTTCTGATGACTTTGTCACACTGACGACTCATGTTCATCTTGGAGTCCACTAGGACTCCTAGATCCCTTTCTGCTTCCGTGCCACCCAGCAGGTCATTCCCTAGGCAGTAGGTGTGCTGGACATTTTTCCTCCCTAGGTGCAGCACTTTGCATTTCTCCTTGTTGAACTGCATTCTGTTGTTTTCTGCCCATATGTCCAACCGGTCCAGGTCTGCTTGTAGTAGTTAAAATAGCCTGGCTGTGAAGATCTAGAAAGAAGTCTGGGCCAAGGATCATGGCCATGTGGGTGGCAGGCAGGATAGTGGTGGGGTCTACGGTGATCAAGAAACAAG